TGATTGCTAGATGATCTAGTTTTGTTTTTATAGACCACCTAAGATGATAATTACATTAACACCGAAGCTCTGGGTGTATGAAGTGTGATGGTACATTTTCCCAACTCATATTTGAATGTTTGATGTCAGATCATCTCAAAATTCTTGCCAGCTCTTATAATTACAATCATTACTGAATTAGGTCTATGATATTGCGGCGCGATCGGCATTTATACCATACGGAATCACATGAAAGGTGAAATTAATTAAAATGAGATCGTCCGTGCAAAGTGAGTGCACAAGCGCACTTCATTACCCCGACGTGAATTCAATCATTCTGACACCACGCGACTGTAACAGATGATTTATCGTGCTAAAAATCCAATCACGTATCGCCAACAAGCGCGTATATATGCGCATTTATAATAACAATAATGCGGGCTTCGCTGCGCTCTTCGGGTAAGCGAGAAAAGTATTTGCGTTATTAATTATCCGGTGTACAATGTGCACTTGGAAATTGCCCGGCTCGTTGTTGCTCTTTAACCTTAATTGACCATGACACCTATCGAGTCCATGCAAATTCGGCCGAAATTATGCTGCTGAGGTTTTTCGCCAAAAAAAAAGAACCAAGTCTTTGAGTCGATGCGCGTACGAATTTTCATTAGCGTTGATCATTTGACAATATGAAAAATTGACTGAAAGCCCATCAATGATGCTGAAGATTTCACTTGCAGCGAGCATAAGAATATACCAAGTCGATGAATTGGCAACATTAAAAAAAGGTACCCGCACACAATGGCCAGGATGTATTTATATACAAACTGACCTAGTAACGTCGCCTCGGTCCGAAAAATGCGTACCATCAACCGCGATCGGCTGACACGATTCTGCACACACATGCACACACATTTAGCTCAAAGATTCAGCCAACGTCCTGTAGCAGAAAAAAGGAGCAACAAAATTGCTTAGTTTTAACTAAACAAGCTCTTATCCGTTATTATCCGCATTTTCTCTGCGTACGGAGTGTGCAGCGAAACTTCATAGGAAATAATGCGGCGCGCATAGCGCGACTGGGCACGTGCGGGCCGACGCTCGAGTGCACGTGTGCGTGTGTTGAATCGATCAAGTTCAAGCGTATATAACCACAATCGCGAATAAGCGATGGTGACAATGAAGAAAGCCAGTATGCGCGCACCTATATGAGCAATTCTCTAAATGAAACGCATTTTTGGAGGTAGAATCGCGGCAAATTTTTTTTTCAACCTACGCTGATACGGACCCCCGGGAAATGTTTTTGGGGGTTCTAGGAACATGTAACCACGTAGGAACCATTGAAATTTCAATAGTGCTTACTTTTATAGCTACTTTTGTGATGTAGAGGACGAAAAATCATGTTTTCTCGTAAATACGGCTAATTACTCAATTTCTAAGTCGCTGAAAAAGTATTAAAACTCATCTAAAAAAAATAACTGGCTACTGTGTTCGATAGGAAATTTTCTCAGCTTTCCAATGGTGGTCTCAGATTTTCCGATAAATCGCACATTCACTGAGAAAATTGCCATCAAACGTGCCAAGCTAAATATCTCGAAAAACTCGGTTCGGAAAAAGTGATCTTTGATGTCTATTTTCGATTTTTCCTTGTGAAAATGACATTTATCAAAAAATCTGACTACACCATGAGAAAGCCAAAGAAATTTCCTATCGAAAGCATATCTTCATTTATTTTTTCAGTGGAATTACGAGCTAGTTTTGATTACAGCGAGCCGAAAACCTCGCGACCGCGCTGAATCAGCTCGGAAACAGAAAACAGCGAACAAAGTAAAAGAAATTCCCATGCATAACATTGTAATTCGACTCAAAAAATAAATGAAGGTATGTTTTCGATAGGAAATTTCCTCAGCTTTCTCAAGGTGCAGTCAGATTTTCCGAAAAATTTCATTTTCACAAGGAAAAATCGAAATTAAACCTCAAAGATCACTTTTTCCGAACCGAGTTTTTCGAGATATTTAGCTTGGCATGTTTGATGGCGATTTTCTCGGTGAATGTGCGACTTATCGGAAAATCTGAGACCACCATTGGAAAGCTGAGAAAATTTCCTATCGAACACAGTACCCAGTTATTTTTTTTAGATGAGTTTTGATACTTTTTCAGCGACTTAGAAATTGAGTAATTAGCCGTATTTACGAGAAAACATGATTTTTCGTCCTCTAAATCACAAAAGTAGCTATAAAAGTGAGCACTATTGAAATTTCAATGGTTCCTACGTGGTTACATGTTCCTAGAACCCCCAAAAACATTTCCCGGGGGTCCGTATCAGCGTAGGTTGAAAAAAAAATTTGCCGCGATTCTACCTCCAAAAATGCGTTTCATTTAGAGAATTGCTCATATATGTATACCTTAAACTCATTCTCCCTTGGCTTCTGCTCGAGCTCAAGTATGTGTGTGTGTATCCGTTAAAAGCACCGTTTTGCACACGTGTGTGAGTGCGTCGCTGGTGCTGCTGCTTCGTTTTTCTGCGCGGCCCAATGAAATGATGAACACCGAATTAAACGAGCGCATTAATTATGCTGGCGTGGGCGTGATTTGATACATGGATGCCTCGTGGGGGAATTTCGTTTCTCGAGCTGCGTATCATACGATTTATTGCGAACGTTTTTGAGGTTGGCGCCTCGCTCGATGGAAGACAAGCAAAAATTGTTATTAATTTTTTTTTTCCATTCGACGGCGACGCGAATAATTAAGCAAAAAAAAAACACGATCATCGGTGGAGAATGCGTGTGACTCTTTTTCATTGCGAGTAAATGTTTCTTCTTACGCCAAGGACTGCGCGGGTGATGTCTCTGTGGAACGTGATGCTTTCGATCAATCAATATGAATTATGAAGCGTATCATAAAGCTACAAACTGAGTGTCAAACCTGATATGTTAGCTTCTCTTTTTTGCACTGTTAGGTTTTTTCGTAAATTAAAACTTTTTTTAGAACTTAAATACTAGTAACCCAGATGTAATTCGATCGATAAAAAATGTATAAAACTTAAAATTGTTGATTCTATTACAGCTTTTTTATCATTCAGCCGAAATTTTTTCAGTAATTCTTTTTTTAAATTTATTTTCATATTAAAATTTTTATCCTCTATGTGGTAAGAGTGGATAACTAAGAGGCAATAATATCCACACACGCAGGCGAGGTCCAGTGCTAATCAGTTGCAGTACCCACTGTTGATTTTATGTATTGAATAGTATTTCGCTCCTCTGCCCAGCTGTGTAATCGGATAAATCTTCAACTAACGAGCTACGAGAACTCATTTTACTCATTGCCGGAGGAAAATCCATAGCATGCCACAAATACGTAGACAAAAAGAGAAAGAAATAAGAAGATAGCAGGTCGTGTACAGGTTTAATCGAGCAAATATTTAAAATTTTTGAAGAAAAGATGAAGATTCAAAGGATGGTTATTTGTAGGTTCTCTCTTGAGTTTGTCATTCATATTGTAAACTGCTGATAAATGTCGACAGACTGCATGAAAATTGTAAAAATTCAGATGATAGATAGTCTTTAAAAATTATCCCAATGATTTCAGATTTTGTTTCAGTTTATCAGGTTTTTTAAGATTTTTTTACATGCGAAATTTTTGAATTTATTGAACTTTATATCAGAAACAAAAAAAAAGCTGAAATGATCAGGTCATAACTTTTTCGAGTGCAGATCAATTACAACCCAAGTGCCTAATACTAACGGCAAAGTTTCGTTTTTTAGTTTAGAGAATTCTAAACAACTTGTATGTTATCTCATTTAGAAATTATTCAGCGCAAAGCATCTAGTTCTTTATTTTTTATATTTAATTTTTATAAAAACCTTATCTATAGGCTTTTAACATCAGTTAATTTTACAGCTACAGGTAAGCACTTCAAGATTGATAAATTTTCAACTCTTCTCCTCTCAGCAGGTATAAATTTGAATTGGTATATGCATTTGCTATGTCCGTGATGATGGCTCGAATATATCTGCGCATATGATAAAAGGGCACAGGTGATTCTTCCACACCCTAACAGCACGCATGTATCTCGTGTATTCATCCTTCAAAACTTGCTGTGCTTCGTGTTTCTGCGTCGCTTGATGTACGAGCCTTTAGAATTTAAAATGCATCAAAACTTCGCACGTATTTTTCATGGGCATGTCCGTTTCTTTTCGCAACTAAGCGATCGGAAATAACAAGAATCAGCCCTATGGGAAAGAGACCCTGATGAATTGCTTAACTATTTGTCAATGCAAACGAGTGAGAATCTGGTATTTTTTTTTATTTTAGTATTTTAAAGATTAAGATTAAGATTTACGACTACCTGGCGCGCGAGTTTATTCTTATATAAAAGTATTGGTGGTCACAATGTATTTTTAAAAATGCACTTTTATTTTGCAAAACTAATATCAAGTCTGCAAAATGCAATTTTCAGCTACCCAATTTTGCTCGGTAAGTGTCCTATACACAATTGTCTAATTTAAATTTTTAACAATTGTCTAATTTAAATAAGAGAAATGTGCAATGTATATGACAAACAGTATAAAAATATAATTTTTTAAATTTATTATCTTCCAACGTGTAAATGTAAAGTAATTAACGAATAAAGGTGTTTCTACCAGGGTTATTCAACACTTAATCGTTCATTCATTTGAACACTTAACAAACGTAATTACAAATTATTAATATTGATACAAATTATAAATTTTCATTTTCGGTGTAGTGACATGCGAGCGCCTCTGTGTATCGCAGTACATTACTACTTATCAGTTGACCGTGGAGGGGGAAGGCAAGAAACTATCACAGGATCACCTCGTTACTAAGCTAAGTAGTAGTGTAGTGCGAACAGCCGCTAACAAAGAGCTTAATTCCTGCAGTAAGTAAGTGTTTACAAATCGTTAAAATCGAGGCACAGTGTTGGTTACTTAAAATATGTATATAACCTCAAAAATTATTTTGGTGTGTTTTGTAAAAATTTAGAGTCAATACCTATAATTAAGCGAGCAATGGATGCAAAACAGGATACAGTTAGGTAATACTTTTTTTGTTTATGCCATGTTTTTTCAAACGATTGGTTCATCAAATTTGATTATTCTTTTCTTTAGGATAAAAAAAGAACCTAATGATAGTTGGTCAGATGTAGACAACGAAGATAATTTTGATTCAGTGGACTCGTTCAAAACCGAAAAATTTCCGTTTTATAAATTAGCAGTGAGTTTAATTTAATTTAATTTAATTTAATTCAAATTATATTTTGTTTTTCTATCATGAAAAATATTACATTGTTTACATTTTAGGCCAACAAGATAAAGGAAGGTACGTCTAAATACGAAAAATCAGATGAAAAAATATTTATAGATTTTGAGTGTAAAGATGTGAAACCTGAAACGAGGTCTTCATCGACCACCATCTGCAAATCTGAGGATAAAAATGACTTACCTATTGTGAAAATAGAAAACCAAATTCAGACAAATTACTTAAATGAAAAAAAGGTCATAATTTTAATTAAAAAAGGATTTAATTACGATAACAACTATCGATTTCAAGAAATTGATCAATTGAAGCTTGATGAATCCGATAAAGTAAAAATATTTAAAAAAAGAACTGAAACTAAATTATCTTTGTGCAGAAAAATTTATAAAGGAAAAGTGAGTCTACAAGCACATATTGATACAACACATAAGAACATTAGACCACGTGAGTGTGAGATTTGTCACAAATCATTTCCCTACCAACAAGACCGCAAAAGTCACGTAAATGTTGTTCATGATCGTATCAAACCCTTCGATTGTGATATTTGTCACAAATCATTTGGATACAAGAATCACCTCAAAACTCACATTGATATAGTACATAATCGAAGCAAACCCGTTGAGTGTGGAATTTGTCACAAATCATTTGGATACAAGAATCACCTCAAAACTCACATTGATATAGTACATAATCGAAGCAAACCCGTTGAGTGTGGAATTTGTCACAAATCATTTGGATACCGGAACACACTCAAGAGCCACAAATTAATAGCTCATAATCTTGGCATTCCTATCAAATGTGAAATTTGTCACAAATCATTTAGAGTAAAACAGAACCTCAAAAATCATATTGATACAGTACATAATCGAAGCAAACCTTTTCAGTGTAAAATTTGTTATAAAGCATTTGGACAAAAAGTTCACCTTAACACTCACATAGATACAGTTCATGATCGCAGCAAATCTTTTCAGTGTGAAATTTGCCATAAATCATTTGGATATCAGAATGAACTCAAAAGCCACAAATTAATAGCTCATAATCTTGGCATTCCTATCAAATGTGAAATTTGTCACAAATCATTTGTATACCAGAGCCAACTCAAATCTCACATTACTACAGTGCATGATCAGATCAAGCCCTTTCAATGTGACATTTGTCAAAAATCATTTGGAGAAAAGGGTTCCCTCAAAAGACACATAAATACAGTACACATTCGAAATAAACCCTTCGAATGTAAGATTTGTCAAAAGTCATATGGGCGTAAGGATACTCTCAAATTTCACATAAAGACAGTACATAATAGAAGGAAACCCTTCGAATGTGACATTTGTCACAAATCATTTGGATACCAAAGTTATCTTAAATCTCACATAAACTTAGAGCATGATTGTGGTAAGTTCTAGGAGCGCAAAATTTGTCCCGAGACATTCTACGAAATTTTAGGAAATCTTTCACCCAATAACCATTCAATTTTCCAAAGAAAAATAAAGTATTTTAAACAGTTATTGATTTTGTTGTGATTGTGAAAAATTTTCATCTTTTTTACATTAACTATAAAGTATAAACAATATTTCTCAAATTCTTTAACATCAGTATACCATTAAAAACTCCTTGCCTTGATCCCCACAACTGATTCTGTATATACACGCGCAGCACTAGCAAAAGTAAGTAAACTGACGCGCAAAATATTAATGTATGTCTATACATGGATAAATGTATGCGTAATTATTTTTTACTTTTGTAATAAATTAAAATATATGTCTTTATTTAAATATAGTTGGGTATCAAACCTTTCAATTTTTTTACCTTAAACCTTAATTTTTTTTGGATTTTAAATTACTTCCAGATTCAAAGCTCAGGGACTTTTCAAAAAAATAGTCAGAAACAAGCACGTAGATCAAAAATATGCCTCGTAAAAGGTGCACAAGCATAAAACTGGCGTGTAATGTAACTCGTTTTCTTAAGCAGCAGTGAAAATACTCCGAGAAAAACGATGAGCACCCGTGCAATTATGACTCGAATAAACACTCTCATGGCGTATTCTGTAGTAGCTCGTATTATTCACCTTGGAATGCTCATAATGCTACTCTCATTGGGCGTATCGCACGCATGCTTATGATTTTCGTGCCACTGCGTATATTTACCTATTTCTTCAATCATCTTACATACACACACTTTCGTGTGTATACTCTGTCTCTATTACAGCACAAATTGAATTTGTATATGAGATGTTTAATCGCTCCGGTGCTCGGCGGTCGATTCTCTCTTTCTCTCTCTCTCTTTTTCTTCCTCGGTGTGTATTTATAGATAATTGTTTGTACTTGTTTGAGTGTATTTGTGATACCAGAGCCTCGACGCGTGCACTAAAACAGGCTTATTATCGTCGTTGTTTTTTCCAGCAATTATATTTGGCATTCGGAGCATTGCGTCAGAGTACCCGCAATCAGACCATAAAAAATCCTATCTTGTAAATTGCACTTTTCTCGACGCGATAGTAAACCTCACGCGTTTACGCGTAAATTAATCGCCTCGCGCGCAGTAACAAAACTTTTGCCTGCCTTGAGCTTTATTAGTATTTTCCCTGGCGCGTCTCTCCTTTTTTTTCGCATATAAATAAGACTTCAAGTGCACGTTCTGGGTGGTAATAGGCATATAATATCTCCCTTTGGCTCGCCGCAAATTTATATACCCAGACGTCTATAATCGTGCCTTATCTGTTGCTGCGCGCGCGGTGCCGTTATTCACGGAGCGCATCAATTCGACTCCTAGGAACGTTTATAGGTGCGAACGGCGTTAAAATTTTTGGTACACATATATCGATTTTAACGCACAAATTTTTCCGAATCCGTTTGACTGATAATAATTGCCGAGGCAAAACAGGCTTTCAATTACCGTGATTTACTGCTTTATAAACTAAGCAGCAGCAGCAGCAGCAGCAGCAGCAGCCATACAAACACAACGGGACTATTAAATTTCGAGCTCGGAGGGATTTTTTTCTTCGTCCCAGCCGAATGCTGTTTTATGGTAAACTCGATTAACTCGTTCGCGGCGGTGGCGGTGTCCGAACGCTGCTGCAGCCGTATAAGTAGACAATGTCCGCGGAAAGCCACTGCAGTTAGAGAGAACACGATTGTAAATTTTAGCTCGGCAACGCCAGCAGCTTTATCGCCTCGTGGCTAGAGCTGCCTGTTGCACTGCTGCTGCCTCTTTGCAGAGCGTTCGGAAGTCCATTGAATTTTGCGTTGATGAAAATAAGGAACTTAATTTCGTTCGACTTCAAATACTATAAATTTCTCTTCTAAACGATACAATAAGATATTCGTGGAGCGAAAAAAGCTACGGGGTACACACTAGCTCGAGATCGGGCAATTAACATTGGGCTATAACTTTCACCACTCGTTTAAATGTCCGTGATGAATATCCCGAGCTGCAATCAAGTGCAGCTCGCGGATATACTTTTTTTATGACTTCAACCCCGGACTTTATCTTCCTCGGAAAAGCTTTCATAATGGCATAGCGCCACATGTGCATATGTAAAGATGGTGAAATCTATCCCAGCCACGAGGCATCGAATGGACCCATGCGCACCTCTCGTTTACCTTGAAATTGCAGCTACTGCATGCAGCTATGGGTTTATAATGGCGCTACGCGCGGGCATTAAGGCGATTTTCTCTCTCTCTCTCTCTCTCTCTCTCTCCCTGCCGAGCTGTGGAAATTTACTTATTTATGCTCGCCGGTGCGGCCCGTGTGCGGTGATCGCATGGCACCGAAAATTACACCCCCGCAGAAAAATAGGACTCTCGTAATGAGGCGCGTATGTGTACATTAATATGAGGCACGCGTTCGCGCGAGAGACCCTTGATTGTCATGGTACTGTGTGCATACGGTACGTGGAGATAGTCTCGCTTCCGAGGCGAAGGCCAGCTCCTCTTGCGGCTAGTGCATCTGCACACCTACGTAGAAAGCATTTAGAAATTTTCGGATGCTTTGTTTATTTACAAACGGTGTCAAGCCGCGAAACACTCGATGCTCGAGTAGTTTACTCGAAAATTATGCCGGCACCCGAGCTCTTGATGTCTCTCGTTTTCTCGCCGCGGCGCGCGAAAACTTCCAGGTACAAAATTCAACGGATTTTCTCAAAACTCGATCAAGTGTTGAGTCGAACACGTGTACTCTCGAGTTCATTCAGATGGAGTCTTTATACCGTTTTTGTATTTACGGTGTCTTACGCTGGAATTATGCGATGATGATGTTGCGCTAGATACTCCATTATAACAGCCAAGGGAGTTGTCCGTTCTTCCGCCGACACGAGAGCTGCTGCCTCGGCGATCATAATTCAAATCGCTGATGGAACTTTTAATAATGGTGGCATGATATAGTCATATAAATTGTTTAAAATGAGATACGTAATATATGCACACATCCATAATTCTTTCAACGCTTTATAACACACAAATCCATAATCTAACATTGCCGCGCGACTGTAATATACCAAAGATATTACGTACGTTCGATATTTATACCAACAATTCGCTCGCGAGCAAATAATAAAAGCACCGCACACGGCACACACACACACACAAACATATATATATATTAAATCCTTGAAAGTTTACATCTATACCGTATATTCTAGATTTTTTTTCCGAAACTCGCTGCAAGTCTCCTCAAGAGCCCATTGTTCGACTCTCTCTCTCGGCTCATACATGGGCTCCGCGTAGTTCCTTCGCGCACGTATATCCTTTCGCAATTTTCCATTGCGTGATAAATCGCTGTTATCTATATGAAAGAGCGCGAGTCGAGTAAAATATGCATAATTTTACGATATATCCTCGTGTTGATACAAATTCTTACCCAGTTTTCATGTGCATGCTCTCGTAGTAGTAGTAGTAGTATCTGTGTATATAGGGGAAACGATTTTTACTTAATCGTCGCGGCGCTCGAACGAGTCGCGACAGTCGCACTCTGGTGCATGCGCTACTACGCGACGACTTAAGTGGCAATGGCAGACGTGTTAGACAGGTAATTAAAAGAGACAGAGACGGTGCGACGTATCGATTGACGATAGATCGATTGTAACTTTTATCTCTCTCTCTCTCTCGCTCTTTCTCTCGACTGTGTCTGCATATATACGTATACACATACGAGCACAGCTCTCGATTGATCATGATGACCCCACGGCCCGTGAGTATACGTGCGCGCGCGCGAGAGAGTGTGTTCGTGTTGCGCAAGTATATATGCAGCTCTATAACAGCAAAAAGACAATCTGTTGACACGATCGCCGATTCGAAGAATATCTCGAGAGATCAAGAGTTCTCTCTCTCTCTCTCGGTGCCCGTCGTGTGACATTTTTTTTCTCTTCATTTCACTCCGCAGTGGCAGTATCGATAAATTATATGTATAATCCCAGCGAGGCGTGTCCTTCAAATGGATACGCTCGCGGTTGCAGCTCTTCGACGTGTTTCCTGCATTTTTCGAAACTCTAGGAGGCTGGTATCGAACTTTCCGTCCTATACCATTTCGTCACGCCTCACGGCGAGTTTTTTTTGCTGCTGCTGCTGCTGCAGCTTCTCGGTCACGTACGTGTGTGTAGTAGCTAGGCTTTCCAACGAGAAGAGCGGTGGCCATATGTATATGAATTTCACGATTTTACTCGAACGCAAAAAAAATGGTTAACTAAGCGGGAGTAGCAGCAGAAACACAACAACGGCAGACATAGCCAAGTTGACACACATTGTGTATATGCTATACCGTTGCATTTATAAAGGGAAAATATACTTCCACGACAACGACGGCAGCAGCTTTCACTCTTTCTCGAATTAATGATAAGCACAATGCGGTGCGGTGCAGCTGTGCACATTGCGCATATAGAAAATCAGCCCTCGCCGTAATTACATTGACGGTTCGAGTCGTGCGAATGTTTCCGAGGCGAAACCGATTCCGACGCTTCTGACATATATCGCGTGCTGCTGGCGCTGCTGCTGTGCACCCACAGCCCAACAAGGGTGTCGACGCCGATCTAATTAATT